AATTTGACTAACTTTTGCTATAGAAACTAAGGTAAGTGGGGTTGGGGGAGTTATATTCTTAACACGTTTTTACTATTAACCTGGAGTGAGGATGGGTATTAGCCTGAATACATAGAATTTACATAATTCCTTTTTCTATGGAATGTTTCTCAAAACATTCTTGGTTCACTGACAGGTGTCTTTAGAAAGGTAATCTGGCACAGTTAAGAAGACTTGCCTTAGATGATCTCCAAAGTTCAGTTCTAGGTCTAAAATTCTGATTCTGTACAAAAATCCTCTTTTGATCAGGAAGAAATTGAAGTGCCTAGTTTCATTTAGGGAACAACTCAGTATGACCCAGATGATTACCAGAGAGTTAGCAGGACCACCAGAAGTAGAACTCAAGACTTGGCTCTCAGTCTTTGCCATGTAACTTAAAAAAAGCATAAAAGTTAAATTCAGTTGTCAAACTAAATAGTCTTTAATTATGAATGGGTTGCATAGAAAACTTTTTGTCTTTTACATAACAGATTGAGTCAGAGAAATGACTTACAGAAATCAAACTTTGGTCACTCAATTTTTTTTCATGGGATTAACAAATCACTTCCAGTACCAGGTTATTCTCTTTACGGTATTTCTCTTTGTTTATCTTGTCATCCTTCTGGGGAACTTGGGGATGATCACTCTCATTTGGATGGATTCCCGACTCCACACCCCCATGTACTTTTTTCTCAGCCACTTGTCCTTTGTGGATGTCTGCTCCTCTTCTGTCACAGGTCCCAAGATGTTGACTGATATCTTCATGGACAAAAATGTAATCTCTTTCTTTGGTTGTGCTGCCCAGTCATGGTTTTTTGGTCATTTTGTAGTAACTGAATGTTTCCTTCTGGCTGCCATGGCACATGACCGGTATATGGCCATCTGTAAGCCCTTGTTGTACACACTCATTATGTCCCAGCAGGGGTATGTCCACCTAGTGGTGGGGCCTTATGCCATGGGCCTTATTAGCACCTTGACCCATACGACTTTCACCTTCCGCCTACCCTATTGCAGTCCAAATATCGTTAATCACTTCTTCTGCGACCTTCTTCCTGTTCTCTCTCTGGCATGTGCAGACATCCATGTCAATAAATTCACTCTTGCTGGAGCCCTGGGAGTGCTTGGTGGTGTGATCATCTTGGTCTCCTACATTTACATTGTCAAGGCCATCCTGAGATCCACTCTGCTGATGGGAGGCACAAAGCCTTTTCTACCTGCTCTTCCCATCTGACAGCTGTCTCCATCCTTTATGGGACACTCTTCTTTATCTATGTACGTCCAAGCTCTAGTTTCTCTCTGGACATCAATAAAGTGGTTTCCTTGTTCTACACATC